CTCTTCCCCATGTCTTCCCTTTCTCTTCATCTCTTCCCTTTCCCTTCATCTCTTACCTTTCTCTTCATCTCTTACACATCTCTTCCCTTTCTCTTTATTTCTTCCCCATCTCTTCCCTTTCTTTTCATCTCTTCCCTTTCTCTTCATCTCTTCCCCATCTCTCTAGTTCGCATTCAATGATTGTGGAATGTCTAATCGTAGCTGATTGGACAAAGGGACATAATAGGTAGAAGCATGTGTCATGGAACCGACTATTATTGCAGAGCTTTCTAAACTCGTCACGCTAGGGACACACATTATAGACATGCATAATGTCACCACATGGTAATCCAGTCTGTGAGCAAGCTATATGGTTAGACTAAAGTTGGTACTTCAATTTTCATTCACACCCAAACAAACCTGCTGGTGGCTATATAATTAGCTAAGGTTAGCGTTAGAGGTTAGGGTTAGCGTTAGAGGTTAGGGTTTTCAAAAAACATAATAAATATAGAAAACCGAAATAAACTGCAAAAGAAAACACATGATGTGTTTTGCCCTATTCCAGGAACACCTGCATTTTCTTTTTATGGGCTGAATTAAAATTGAAGTACTCTAAAGTCTTAAAAGAGGTATAGATACATTCATAAACTACGTTCTCATGACACACCCTGACATTGCAGCTGGCGCACAGTTTTGAAAGCTCTGTATTAGATAGTGGAAGTGGTTGGTGTTTCTGGTGAGGTCAATGACAGCTCAGAAATTACACAGCGAGGGAGGAATGGAAAAAAAATGTCGCGTGTGTTGATGCGCACTCACATAAGCTCGTGAAAGAATCAGAGAGATCGCATGACACGGTAGACAGAAATATTCTTGTCGCTACAAACCGCATGTTTGGCGCAGCGGTGAAGCTTATACCTTGTATCATTAGAGTGCGAGATTTAATTTCTGACGGATCAGCAGCTGAACACACACACACGCGCACGCGCGCGCGCGTACACACACACAACAGGGTGGTAGTGTGATGAATAGGGCGAGAGAGGCGGCGGGAAGAAATGGACGGGTGTGTATTGTGAAACCAGAGAAAACGGCAGTGCGATGGTATGAACGAACGAACGAACGAACAGACTTTATTTTCAAAGGGTGGAGAATTAGGCACACAGGCCCGTGAAACACTCTACACTTCAGATATGACCCCTGTTATGAATCATTTAAGTCAGAAATAGTTTAACAGTAATCGGCATCATGGACAACAATTGGTTATAAGTAGAAACGCTGAAATGTGTTTGAATTATGCCTACATTTCTAGGCAACCATAAATCGTAGGGAAAATATACGATTAGAGAATGTGAGAGAGAGATAGAGTGACGGCATTAACAACAGCCTTACAGAAATAAACATCAATTCCAATGGTGCTTTTGGCAGAGCTCATCCACGAATGTTACATTCCCCACCCACCCCCCCCCCTCCCCCCGACACTTCACTGAGGTACAAGGTGGAAGAAAAGAAGATGGGATAAGAGAGGTTAAAAGAGAAAGAGAGATGTAACTGCTGCCACTACTGAACTGTCTGTGAGACTTGTCAAATGGCCCAGTGTAGTGTCGGCAGTCGCTGGGATCGCAAGTATGTCCAGTAAGCCACCTAAACTAGCAGGGACATCCAGCCACCACCGTGGATCTTTTCCCACATTGTGATTTACTTTGTCTTCTACAGCAAAAAATAATTTCACTGCCATCACCAGGGTCCTCTCAACTTTCATTGTCAGCAATTTTTTCAACCCCAGAAGGTATTCAAACGTAACTTGAATCAAAATTTACTGATCCCAGTCTGGGTTCCGGGGTCCCATTGTGGGGGGGGGGGGGGACGAGAATAGACTCACTGCCTGCATAAAAGAATGTCGTAAGAGTCGATTAACTGGATGCTTCCTTCGAAGTCGGAGTACATCTGTCTGAGAGGCAAGGAACCAACTGATGTACACGCAATACTCAGGTTCTGGAACAGGACTAGAGTTCAGAAGTGGACAAACAACCATAACTTTCCGCCGGAGTTTACAGCCGGTGAACGCGAAGAAAAAGAAACAGAACATTTGCTGAATCAAATAATGTAGCATAACGCTGTTAAGACGGCTCTAAGGGGCACCAGGGACATTTCAACAACCTTACAAATTTCGCTAGCACGTTCTTGATATGTTTAAAGGTTAACCCGACACTGGCGGCATAGCAGAATGATGATGTAGATGAAATAAATATAGTGATGTTATCAATGTCATGCGCTGCACTTACCACACTGGCGAGCACGACAAGGAACATGACTGTATCCCTGTGTAGACTGATGAACATCGGGGTGCAGCCTGGAGTTGCAAGAAATGAACATTTCACTAAGAGGACAAGACGTTTCATCAGCCAACACAGAACAGGCGTCATCAGTCGTTTTATACTAGGAGAGCTTTTGAGGAGGAGATCGGAGCACCTATGGATCTGTCCGGAGTGCTGTGATGATAATTCTTTCTAATCTAATCAATAATCACAAATGAAATAAATATGTTCTAAAGCAAATTGTTTAAAATAACATCACAATTGTCGGCTTTTTGTCTTTAAAAAAAAACATAACCCTTTTTTCCCCTTATATAATAACATAGAACCCGCTCTTCCTCTTGCTAGACCTACTGCTGATTGTTTCTAATTAGTTTCGTGTTTGTTGACTCAGTAGAGACGGTGTCTGGTATGAAAGTGGACAACACAGATGATGCGCTCCCTGTAGATGTGGGGAGTAACAGACAGGATGTTCCGTTGTCATTGGAGAGAGGCAAAGACAGACAGACATCCAGGATTGCCATTCAACAGATTTGTTACTGCTCGGACTGTCAGCTGTTGTTTGTGGCTATTTACAAGTAAGTTAGCTGCTGTCTCTCTCTCTCTCTCTCTCTCTCTCTCTCTATCCTCCCTCCCCCTATTGTTCACTCTGCTTTGTCTGACACTGTCTCATTGTGACTTGTGTAACCACACACACAACTATTTGTCTCTGTCTCCCTCACTTTCTATCTCTCTGTTTATCTGTCTGTCTCTCTGTCTGTGAAACAGTGTATATGTGTGGGAGTATACAGAACCCTTTTCCACACCCTTAGGTGTATTGGGCATTTAGTGCTAGATTTATATTTTATGGAGCATTAAGTGGGGTCAAGATCATGCCAGTCGCCTTTACTTCCCAGTGCTTTAGCTGATACCTGTTTTAGGCTGGGTCGACCTAAGAGACAATGTCATTTAAAGAAACCCATGACATTTAATATCTAGCTGCTACCACACAGCAGCTTTAGTGTATTATCTTTGTATATTATCCTGATTCTTTTTTATTATGAGGGTATTTTCTGACTGATATAGGGTATTTTCTATCTGATATAGGGTATTTTCTATCTGATATAGGGTATTTTCTATCTGATATAGGGTATTTTCTGACTGATATAGGGTATTTTCTATCTGATATAGGGTATTTTCTATCTGATATAGGGTATTTTCTATCTGATATAGGGTATTTTCTATCTGATATAGGGTATTTTCTATCTGATATAGGGTATTTTCTATCTGATATAGGGTATTTACTTTTCTAACTGATATATTGTATTTTCTAACTGATTTAGGGTATTTTCTAACTGATATAGTGTATTTTCTATCTGATATAAGGTATTTTCTATCTGATATCGGGTATTTTATATCTGATATCGGGTATTTTCTATCTGATATCGGGTATTTTCTTTCTGATATCGGGTATTTTCTATCTGATATCGGGTATTTTCTATATGATATCAGGTATGTTCTATCTGAAATCGGGTATTTTCTATCTGATATAGGATATTTTCTATCTGATATAGGATATTTTCTAACTGATATAGGGTTCTAACTGATATAGGGTATTTTCTATCTGATATAGGGTATTTTCTGTCTAATATAGGATATTTTCTGTCTTATGTGTGTTATTTTCTGTCTAATATGCGTTGGTTTTTATCTAAGTTATGTTGGTGACATACACTGTGATGTTTCTGTGTTCCCTAGGTCCCCTGACATTCTGGTGTACAGACTGCTCACAACAGAACACAGTGAGAGTGTGAGTCTACAGTTCATGTCCAGGCTGAGTGGTGAGGGGCACATTGCCAGTATGTGTGTAGGACGATGTGTGCTGTGGACAGTCAGGCAAGGAACACAACAGCTGAGTCTTGCAGCCTTCCAGGTGGAGAATCTCAGTGATGCAGTTAAGGTATGATGGTACTTTCCACAAAAGAAGATGTCTGTTGAAATGTCATGTGATCTTTAGAATTGTTGTCAGATCTTATTATTACCAGTTACTTCTTCTTCTGTTTGTTTTGTTCACCCTGACAGCCGCAAAATAAATATCTGTGTTTTTGTGAGAGAGAGAGAGATAGAGAGAAATAAACAATTGGTCAATTAAAGTTTTTGGCTTGGATCATATATCCAACATCCCATATAGACATAAGCCAAAGTTCTCAGTTTCCTGCTATGAATTCTCGCTCTGTCCTCAGCTGGTGCCGGTGTCTGACAGCAGACCAACCGAGGCGACAGTCTTGAAGACATTGTCCAGCCAGCCAGATCTGCTGCAAGGTGAGTGGGACAGTTCGCTGCAAATGTATTCTTTATTACAGTTGTTCCCCAGTTAGTTCAGACCTTTGGACTCCACTTGTTGTCAAAAGTTTGCCACAGACTCCCATACATGTTTATAGGCATTCTGAACTTATTATAATTTATAAATGTTAGAAAAGCAAAAAGATTGCATTTTCATGTTGATATTTCATTTTTTTTCTCCCTTTTTTATATGTGTGTTGAGTGTTAAACTGAAAATAGACACCACAGCACTCGGGACATTCCCATAAGCGCTACGTCCTTATCTTCAGCAGCCAACGAATAGTTCCAGTTCCAGTGGTGCCAGTATCACTTTGATTATTTGTCACAGCCCACCATTTTATAGGTCTGGTATAAGTTAAAACCATTATCGCAGCTCTTTAGACAGATCCATAGGTGCTCCGATTTCCTCAGTAGCTCCACAAGCATAAAACAACAGATAATGCACATCTATGATAATACATTATTAACATATATATGAGTGTGTGTGTGTGTCTATATATATATATATATATGCAGTATGTATTTGTATGTGTGTGTGTATACACACACACACACACCCACACACACCACAACTCTTTTCTGTTCGATTTTTTCATTTTAATCCTTTTTGTTTTCAAAGTAAAACCTCAGTAAAACAAATTCGTTTAATAAGAACCCTCAGTTAACGTGAGAAATGTTGGTCACAGCAAGAATGTGCTAATGTTATCAGTTCCTGGTTGGCACACTTGTGTTTTAACTCAAACTCAATAGTGATCCCTTTGCAATTCATGTTAACGAGTTTGTGCTGTAATTTTTCAGTTTAAGTAGGCAAGACAAGGATCCATTTTACACCAATAGTGGATTGGGTATATGATGCTATACATATTTATATAGACCAGTAAGCACTTGTTGGATGATGTGGTCAGCATCCAGCCAGCCGCCTTTATTTCCCAGGACAATAAATTAGAACCACATCAGTGTGTGTGTGTGTGTGTGATTTTTTTTTAACTGCCTGGGTGTGAATTCACAAGCAAGAACTTTAAGCTGGAAGGGAAGCTTGGCATATATTGTACTGTCATAGCTGCCATTTAATTTTTTTCTATTTCCTAGCTGTTTGTCCATCTTGGTCTACCTCGTGCTCTACATCGTTCTCCTCTTTTGATGGATGACTTGTAGGAAAGGCAGACCAAGAGAGATGATGCTAGATGGGCTGAAACGATTGCATGGACGCATATCATCGAGAGAGCTGTTTCAGGCAACCAGGGATCGGGATCTGTGGAGACGCCAGTTGGCAGGGCACATGATGATGATGAGCTGTAACATTTTTTGTTGAGATGCCTGCGTGCCCTGGCACAAAAATAGAGCTGATCTGTGTCAGACGTGGCCACCTCCGTGACGGCAACTGTCTTCGCACCCAAGCCATCACTATATTCCTGAGCATAATCATTGATGCTATATGTAAATTTGGCTTATAACTAATTAAGTTACAGAATTTGTTACAAATTGTGATCAACAATTTCAATTGTTACAACTGTCTCCCATTTTCTAGCACCCTCACAACCGCTGGACCTGATCCCGTCGCTGTGGAAAACACCATTCCAGGAAAATCTTAAGTATGAGAACAACCCGAAACGACATAATGAGAATGGAAGCAAGAAACCAAACAAGAAACAGAGAAAGTTAAAGCAGTAACAGGAGAAATATATTGTTGAATAGATTCTAGTGTCTGTATTCCTTTCATTCATAGTGTTTTGTGAGTGACAAAATGTGCATGTGTCTGGTGCTTATGTCTATTTGTGTGTATCTATTACTCTGATTGGATGCTTGTGTATATGTCTGTTCTAAAATGGAAATTGTGTGTATGGTGTATATGTGTCTATGTCTCAAATGTGATATTTGTAGGTCTATGCCACCTATGCTTTGAATATGATTGGTTTTTTTAAAATTGTATGTCATGTCTGTCTGTGGTTTGGTATTTCCTGCGTATGAGATATCTCTGATGTAAATCTCTGCTGTGCTGTCCTATTTGTATATGTAAACCAGATGTGTAAAATTTTACGGTTCATGCTTTGAATGGAAAAACCTGCCTGATGTGCACTATCTAAAGACCCACGTCCAGCCTGTAAGCTCTTCTATCTACATCCTCCCTCCCCTCTGACCTTCAGGTCAAAATGAGCAGTTATTTCCCATGAATTATACCTGTATGAGGGAGTCGCCGTGGCGGAGCAGCTAGACGCTCGCCGCAGATCGAAATGGTTGTGTGTTCGCTACCTGGCGGAGACGGACTTTTTTCAGAAATATGACCTTGACCCCCAGGTCGACCCAGCCTTGAATGGGTATCGGGTGCAGTCCTGGGAAGTAAAGGCGGCCGGCATGATGCTGACCACATCAAGAGCGTTAGACTGAAGATTACCAGTACCGATTGGTCTCTAAAAAATAGGTCTAACTCTTTATGCCCTATACGCCTAAAGACGAGGAAAAGGGTCCTTTACTTTTTTTTAAAATACCTGTATCATTGCATTTGCTACCTGTGGGTTCCGGGGACCCGTTGTTGGAGAAAACAGAATAGACCCATTGCCCCCTAACAAGCATGTTGTAAAAAGCTAATAATTAGGGGTGTTTTTGTGTGTATCAAAGTCAGAGTGCCTCCCCCTGAGAGGCAAGGGACCAACAAACTGCATATAAATAAGCCAGATCTGTAAATTGAATGTGCACGCATGACTGAGGTTCTGGATCAAGAAAAAAGTCCAGGAGTGGACAACAAACAACCAGAACTTTCTGCCAGCATTTACAGCTAGTCCGTGCTGAGACGAAGAAGCAGAAGATTTGTTGATAATTCCAGTGGACAGCCAAAATAAGCAGAATATATCATCAGCCATGTGCCGTCTTCACAGTGAAGTTTGGCTGCAATGAACTTTTAACACTCTCTGTATTATGTCTTGGTTGTAAGTACACTCTTTGAGACTGCTGTTGATTCATCTCTTGATGCGATTTCCTACTTCTAACTCTTCCTGACTTGCCTTTAACTTTTTCCCGCCAGTACAATTTAAAAAAAAAAAAAAAAGACAATGAAGTAGTTCGCTTATCACTTCGTAATTTCATTTTTTTTTTTTTTTTACGTATCCAGAAACCATGAGTTGTAAACCCTTTGGCTCGGTACTATGGATATCGCAACCCTTCGGCATTGATTCCATTATAGGTACCGTTAATCTGGGAGAAATGTGGCTTTTCTGCCTACCCCCGGGAGTGAACCCGGACCACAAGGAGTTCGTCACCCGGCCGCCGCGAAAGTCAGGTTTAACCAACTTCGCTAGAGAGCCGGCGTAATTTCATTCAACTCCTAGTGGTTAAGAAACGTCCCCCAATATGGTCACGTACTGAAGCAAACACGGACAGTATTGGTCCAGAAGGACATATGTCCAGTTATTACTTTGAGATTCCCAGTGATCTCAGTTACAACAGCATAAGTAAGCTGAGTTAACAACCGACATCACAGCACTTGGGTTATTCCCAGATGCGCTACATCCTCATCTTCAGCAACCAGTAAAAAGTTCTAAATCCAGTGGTAGCAGTAGCTGTGTGATTTTATGGCCGTCTTGCCTTTCCTCTAGGTCCCTCCCCGCTGCACCTTTACGGCACGAGGCCTTCAACTGCTGCAGTCGACTCTGGGATCACGACTGGGTGGGTCTGACCCGATCGGCAACAGTCTGTCACAGAAGTCGCGATACTGTAAACTTCCTTCTCCACTCATACACATTTTGAACGGACAGACATGCATCACCATAGTGGAGCTTCATTCGCCGATGAATAGCTATAGAGTTCACCGCTTTGCTGATCAAACAACGGGTAACAGAACGCTGCTCTTCTTCAAACTCTCATCTTTAAACTTTCATCATGATATCACTATGCTCTTCTGCACTGTGATATCACGTGCTTAACACTCTTGACATTTATATCAACGATATTGACAGGTTACAAGACAAGGGCTTGTTTATTGTAATTTCTTTCACGCTTTGACGGTTTTGGCTGGAAGCCCCCTTGTACAGTTAAAGATATTTTTCACCACGAGGTGCCGGACTGGATTCCATCCACACAGGTTTGACCAGAACGGAGGACGCCTGCCAACCAGCCCTATGTGAGGTACAACAGGCGGATAATAGCAACAGTATTGTTTTGTAAATATTCAACAGCAAAATCTCTACAGCCTGCCCCAGCTTGCTGCTCTGGTACCTTGTGATGTCGTGAGTGTGTATTCTTCTGCGCTGACCTGTTAAAGAGTGGTTGACACCTTAAGTTGTGATTTATTGCTGGGCTGTGATATCTGTGCCTTTCATCCCAACATTATAATTTTTATCCAGACAACATTTAGTCATTTCTACGACATACTTGTAAGGGGATAGTGGAACTATGAATCATTTCCCCTTCCCCCATGTGACACCAGAATCCACAGGGTGTTCGTCCACCACGATTCATGATGACACTTTAGCATTCAAAAATGATAATGATCAAGGACTTTGAGGTTTGAACAACGGATCAACATCATGGCACACGGGTAGTAACCCATCAGTGCTCCGTTCTTCTTCTAACTCAAGTCTGAGTCCGAAGTAGCTCAGCACAGTGCACAGGCTCTGTAGCGCTGGCGAGGGTCCTAAAATACTTTAGGTAGATTTTCAACTCCAAATTTGCCCCGGCAGCGCCGTTAGGCTACTCTTTTTGATTTTCAACTGCCAAGGGATTTTTTACGTGCTCAACAATGCATACGGGCTTCCGATCTCACTACCCAAAGACCAGGGGGAATTACTAGAAGTCCTTGCCGGGGATTGAACCCATGCCGACACCATGCATCGAGACCAGGCCTTTTTGCTTAACCAACCCCAGCAGCCCCTGGTTGTTGTGTGGTTTCTCTAGGCAAATTTACGTCCAGTAGTTTGTCATTGCTCTCTGGACGGTCGCCCTCCTCATACCACTGTCGAAACCAACGCAAGGCGCATGGACCGCAGCTGGAATCGAACCCAGCACCCCGGCATTACGAAGCTTTCGCATCGACTTAGCCACAGAGCCGACAATGGCCAACTGAAGGTAAAATTTTCCTAGAAAACCACAACAGCCAATACATGCTGGGGTTGGTTCTGCAACGTCTTGTAAAGGATACGAGACTAACTTTAACTCTAGATCACTATTATGTGGTATGTACTTGCATTCCCGAGTTTGCTTATGAATGCTGAAGCGCGTGCCTGTATGTATGTAAACATATTTTGTTTCACCCTTTCCTTATTAAATATTTCTCTTATTAGTTCTGCTGACTTTTCTTTGACTGGCTGTATTCACAGATCATGATAAAATCCCTGAATCCGACGCTGTGTGCGCTTCTTGTTTGGTGTGATCTAACGAGGCCCGTACTGACGCGGTTAATCCATCAATCCCACTCTTGGCCGAGCGCCTGACAGGCTAAATTAACCCTATTAAACGGCAACGGCTCTCAGCGCCATGATAACCCTTTTTATTCCAACCAGTTAGCTCTCCCGGGCGGGGTATCGACAGACTTTAACCCGTTTTCACTTTTTCCTTCGGGAAAAATCTTGAACACGGGAACAAAAATGGTTCATATTAATGATAATACCTGGGGGAAATGCGTATTTTCTTGATGAAACCGGAAGATGATACATGTAAAGACCATGATTCCACTTATAGGAACAATACGTCCTTTTCAGGACGTAATTTTTTGTTATTTGAAGCCCCACTCTGGCTTTTGCCAGGGGCCGCAATATAGGCAGGCCATAAATATGGCCAATTGTCTGAACGCGGTTTCTGGGACCTCTCCACGGCGATCCTCACCCACATGGTGGCACTTTGTGTCATCGGGTGTTTATCGCTTGTGTGATGTCCTAGTTGGGTAAAAATTCATTCATTCATTCATTCCACTCGGCAAACATGGTTTTACCAACATTACGTTACCGATACTAAACCTGAGTGATAACAAAAGAACAAGATCGGAAACTAATGTCGTGTGAGATTAGATGTTTGAGAAAAGCAGTCCATCGCAAGAAGAGGCCGTAAAAGAAACGATGATATTCTTAGAAAAGCAGGAACAACACCTGTAACTAGATTTTTTTTTTTTTTTAAACAAAGACTGAAATTGTTTGACCACCTTGTCATAATGAACCCAGCGTCACAGGCTGCAAGAGCATGCAACATGAAAATGGAAACACCAGGAGACAGAGGAAGGACAAGAATAAGGATGGATGAAGTTAACAACTTGCTAAAACAACAATATCACTTTACAACAGGCTGATGAGTTCACACTGTCCCGGAAGCCGATCGTTAACCTTAACTGTGACGCCTAACAGCGTTAATGAGAGAAAGACAGACAGACCGACCGACCGACCTGCAGATGGACAGACTGATTAATAGATTAGATAGATAGACAGACAGACAGACAGACAGACAGACAGACAGACAGACAGACAGACAGACAGACAGACAGACAGACAGACAGACAGACAGACAGACAGACAGACGGACGGACGGACGGACGGACGGACGGACGGACGGATAGATAGATAGATAGATAGATAGATAGATAGATAGATAGATAGATAGATAGATAGATAGATAGATAGATAGATGTTTTTGATTCGTAGCCAATCGACATTCATTGTGTCAAAATAGAGGACGCGGTGTGTGACAACGAC